GTGTACTTGGCCTACAATTCTTTTCTCCAGATAGTCACATAACATATTTCCGCATTTCCTCCATTTATGCTTAAATGTCACCCGGTTAGTCAGAGAAGTCACACCTTGACCCTCCTATATAAAATGGCAACTCCGGCCTCCAGATACACCCTTTCCCTCCATTTTCCACATGATATGTTAAATAGTTGGTTTAAAAAAATTGCTTATGTCTTCCTCAACTAAAGTACAAGATGAAAGTGGACGATTTGTTTTGTGCACTAGTGTTTATGTTCCCGGTGTCTAGAATAGTGCCTGGCACATAGAAGGTAAACAATGTGTAATAAACAATGGACATGTGAGGCGTTGTACCAGGGAACTGACGTGATTGTATTTGGGGAATCACTGGCTGCAGTGGAAAGGGGATTGACATCAAGAATTGAGCTAGGGAGAACTCTTAGTAACTGTAGGTTTCTGTGGCAATACATTTGAATTCTTGCTGATATTTAACATTTTTCAAAAATGTGCATGTTGAAAAATCTCGTTTGTTTATGCACTAAGGACTATGTGAGCTAGATATTACCAGTTGTTCCAGCAAATGGACTGATACAGGCATCCTTCCATCAGGCCTACACTAACCAGGTTGCTTCATTTATCCTTACGTAGTGTCTCCCACAGAGCCAGGCTTGTTGAGGCTCTGCAGTGACTAAGGAAATCAATGCAGTGGGCCAGCTGCTGCTGAAAATGCTCAAATTCGCTGTTCATGGCAGTCTGATGGGTGTTTACCCATAAACACCAGCCAAGCCAGGCTATCTCATGACAGCTATATAATTAACAAGCTAACTTAGCACCTTAGTGCTATAATGTGAAGTAAGCCCTATCACCCTCTCAGACCCCAACATAACAGGGTGCAATAAAGTTTAACCTGTATATTGTCTCCTTGGAAGCCAGGAATCAGTTTATGTCATTGTCATCTCTGACATTCTAAGGGTCACACAGCTTTATAGTGCCTAGGCCATAATTATCCTGGATAATGTTCAGTGGTTGCCAGTTTCACCGTAGCCTATGAACAAATTATTGCGTTTAACAGAATCAACTAATAAAACATGTCAGCGGCAGCGTTGCTACTCATATGCTAAAAATGCTACATGGAGTTTTGGCGGTTCTGCATTTTAAAATATAAATGTATATTCTTTACTGTAAGAGTGAATTCTAGCACACTAATAGATGAACCTGCGTTGGTAATAGAATATATTACCCTGATGAATACTGCTGACACAATTTATGGAAAGTGTTTTTTTCTTACCCTTTAGAAATGAGTCATGCTGGAATTAGTTGCTGTATCTGCAGCTCTTAATATTTGTTGATATAGAAGGTTCATATTCTCTTAGTATTAAAAGGCTACTTGAATTAATAAAAAATGAGCACCAGAAATTCATAGTAAATAGTGAGGAAGTTTGTTACTTAATCTTAAAAACTAAAATTTAAGCTCAAAAGCAAGTGTATTTTATCTTAACTTGATTTAATCTATCATTGTAATTATGCATTAATTATGAGAATGTGCAAAGACACAAACTCTAAAAGCTCAAGAAAAAAATAGATAACCTGAGNCTCCCTGGCGTGAAGCCGCGGGCTGTGGGAGGGACTGCGGGGCGCCGGCGCGGGGCGTGAGCTGCGGGTTCGCGCAGGGGCAGCCCCGCGGCGCGGCGGGGCGGGGGGCGAGGCCCGCCTCTGCTCCAAACTCTGCCTAGCGGGCCCGGCGGGCGGGTCGAGTCGGCGTCAGGTCCCGCAAGTTGGACGTGCTCAGCCATGGGCTCCGGCTGCAGAACGTTTCATCTTTGCAGCAGGTGCGGTTGAGTGTTTTAGGAAGACATTTGAGGCCCTCGGGAGAGGTAGCATAAAAACTCAGTCTGCTTGTTCAAACATTTGCTTTTGTTTGGGTTATTGTGTTTCGTAGACAAAGGAGTGGACGTTGTCCAGACGGTTTACTAGCTTTTGAGTTTCTGAGTTCCTTTGTTGGTGGTCATACTGAGGCCTTTTCCCAGCTCTAAAATTCTTAATGATTTCACAAACTCAGACAATCTTGATGTCTCAGGCTTTTTCTGTGTGGCGCTTCCCGAAACTCTTCAACCTAAGGTTGACGTGATCAATCTTACATTAATTGCATCTCTTTGGACCTTGTTGCTGAGTACACTGCAAAGACAGAATAGTACGGTTTTAACTCTTCTGCCCAGGGACACTTCATTGACTCGTCGTAGTTGCAAACTCAGACCTAAGAAGCTAAAAATACATCCCCTTGTCCCAGGAGCCAGTGGGTTCAGAAGAGGTTTTGTTTTCAGGCTTTCAGGGCTACCAGTAATGTGCTTTCCCTGCTTTTTATAATCCATGGCCAGAGATGGTGTCTTATTAACTCGTCTTTGTATCCCCAATGCCCAGCACAATACCTGGAAGAAAGTAATGATCAGTAATGTGGAAACATAGCTACTACTGCTTATTTAATTTAAATTGATGAACTTCCCGTTGTATGCGTTTGGACCTTAGTCTTGAGTAAGTGAAATAAAAGTATTTCCTATAATTTGGGCGTAGTTTACTTTGTGCATAGTTTCTAGTGACTAGGTCTTCCACAAGGATATGTGAGAAAATAGTGATTCAGGGTTCTGGTTGTGTTAGTTATCTTGATGTCTTAGAGAGTTTGCCAGTTGGTTTGGAATTACCAACTCGACTAGAAAGAGTAATCTAGGAAAAGGAGATTCTGTAGAATTCTGTTTGTCTTATAAAATTGAAGGAGTGATCTGCCAGTCATCCAGTCATTTTATCTATTTATATAATCTTTAAAAAATTTTAATTGTTTTAGGGCTTCTTTCCAGGGTGAGGATAACCTTTTCCAAATTGTACAAGTTGATTAATTTTCCCTTTGTCAGCTTGATCTAAATAACCTCATCACCCCATCCTCTCCATGTACACTGAATGGGAGTCACAGCAGTTAACAACCCAAACTGTTGGTTGTAGCCCCTTGATTCCTGCGGATGTGCCCTCCCACACACGGATAATTCAGATCTTTTAAAATTATATTTAATGGCCTCTCTATAATTTAAAATAATTTTGGAAAGCTCTTTTAATATCGCTAACAAGTATTACGTTTGACCCAACTGCTTTCAGCCCCATTTGATGCAAATTATAACTGTATAAAGATAATACTTTTGATAGTTTTTATTTTTTTTAAGGCAGCACTAATTAAGTTAGGATAGGGTGGAGTTCTTGATATTGGCACTGAATACCATATATAAAGGTGAGGTTGGCTGTAAGGTTGAGAACACCTGTGGACTGGTGGGTCTCGGGTGGGGAGGAATTCGGACAGTGTGTTGATGCTTATTGGTGTCTCTTTTCTCTTCTAGGACCAGCAGAGAGAAGAGATTCCATCTTCCAGAGGTTGCCACTGTCTGCCTCCCCACTTGTCCCCATCCTCAGTCATCATTTTTTTTAATGTAGACACATTAGTTGTCTAGCTCTTCATAGTGAATGTGGTTTAAATCTGACATCAAGTCCGATTGACTTGAAATTTGAACCTTAGTGTTATTCTTAACTGAAAATTGTCTTTGAGTTTGATAATCTCTTCCCCCAAAGATATTGTTTTAAATTAATGATTTATTACCAGTATCTGAGCTATACAGAGCCTTAAATGAAAAAGT